ATCAATTCCTCTCTCAGCTTAAACCTATGCCCTCTAGTTTTGGGCTCCCCTATCCCAGGTAAAACACCTTGGCTATTCACCCTGTCCATGCCCCTCATGATTTTATAAACCTCTTATAAGGTCATCCCTTGGCCTCTGACACACCAGGGAAAATAGCCCCTCTGGGACTGTTGTGGCACAGTGGTACTGCACCTAAATCTGGACAGAAAGTCTGGGTTCAAGTCCCATCTACCCCAGATGAGTGTCATTACACGCCTGAACAAGGTGATTAACATAACAAGAGGCATTAATCACGTTTTTAATGTCACAGCTTTGAAGGGACTGCTAAAGGAGACTCTGTCACAAAAAGGTGGATCAGAAATTAGCTTATCTTTTCTTCAGTCAATGATGCAACTTGTGACTTTGAATTGGTAAAAACGTGGATCTCAAGGTGAAGATTACTCTCAAAGCAATGTCAAAGGAAAAAAATGAAGGTGATATAGCATCTTTACATACTGCAGCAAAATTTCTTCCTCACATCTTGGTTGGATGGGACTGTAACATTCTCCTCACTTTGCCCAGGTATGTAAATAGCTTCTTGGTGAATTTGATGCTGTTCTGGAGCCACACCTTTCTAGCAGTATGTGGCACATGGCACTTCTCCTGATTTTGCCCATCAGTTGTATCTGGTATTATCAACAATGGTTGTACTGCATTGATATTGTGTGCTGTCCTTTGGTTCCACAGCTGTCTTCCCACTCAACAATGTTCCTGCAAGTCAGTCTGACACTACTGGCTACTGAAGGATAAAGGGCCCATGAAAATGACAAAGCTATAATATGCAGAATTTCATTCTTGTGCTCATAGACTTGACAGAGCTATATATAAATCAATGGAGTAACATTGGAAATAGAAGTATGCATAACCATGTGAAATGCTTTGCAGATACCTCTTGGTAGAATTTGAGTGCTCTTGTAAGATGTTGGTTTCTTTCCAAAGAGGATTAAGAAAAACAAGGAACAAATAGAACAAACAACTGTACAGTGCAGGAACAGGCTCCTTGGCCCACCAAGACAGTGCTGATACATGATGCTTTTCTAAATTAAAAATCTTTTGCTTTTACATGGTCCATATTCCTCTATTCCCTGACTATTCATGTATCTGTCAAGATGCCTCTTAAACACTGCTATTATATCCACCTCCACCACGTCCTCTGGCATCGCGTTCCAGACACTTACAACCCTCCGTGTAAAATAACTTGCCTTTCACATCTGCTTTAAACTTATCCACTTTTACTTTAAATCTATGTTTCCTAGTAACTGACATTCCTACCCTGAGAAAAGAAGACTCTGACTATCCATTCTATCCATGCCTCTTAAAATTGTGTAAATTTTAATCAGGTCACTCCTCATCCTTCGACATTCAAATGAAAACAAACCAAATTTGTCTAAACTCTCTTCATAGCTGCTGTGCAATTAGAGATTTCAAAAGAAACCACATCCAGATCTGACAGTCACCCTGTTTTCTATAACCTGATTATCACATGAGTTTCAACATGGAAGGAAAAAGCACCATTCACACTGGGGAGAAACTCTACACGTGCTGTGTGTGTGGAAGAGTCTTCAAACATTCATCTGACCTGTCAAAAAATCAGCAACGTCACACTGGGGAGAGACTGTGGAAATGTGGGGATTGTAGGAATCCCAGTCAGAAATTTACCAACTCAGTCACACTGGGGAGAGACCATTCACCTGCTTTGAGTGAGGACAGGGATTCACTTGGTCATTCTACCTGCAGGGACACCAGCGAATTCACACTGGGTGAGACTATTAACTTGCTCTAATTATAGGAAAGCATTCACTCAGTCAACCAAACTACTGAAAACACCAGCAAATTCACAATAGGGAGAGACCATTCACTTGCTCTACGTGTGAGAAGGGATTCACTCCGTCATTCACCCTGTTGATATACCATCAATTTCACAAAGAACCACAGTTGAAGGATTTTATTCTTAATTACGCCAAGCGGCGGCAGCTGCATCAGCGGGATTGGCCCAGCGTGAACTGGTGATGGCAGCGGTGTTGGTGGAGGTGGGATGGTGCCAGAGAGTGGTTACTTGTTCTTCCAGCAGCGGCATGGGTGGTGGTTGCAGCAGTGTACTTGCTTTAGCAGCAGGAACTTGAGGCATTGTGGAGGAGGAGCCTGGATCCAAGCCCATGGCTGTGCTAGAAGTGGGAGCTATTCCGAAGACCACCTGACTTTATTGAGATGAGACTATAAGGTGAACATTATTGTTTTATTTTTTGGCTTTATATTATATATGTTTTGCTTTATTTTCTGTGTTTTAAGATGGTGCCAGAGAGTGGCAACACAAAAAAACACTTTTCACTGTATTTGTAATAAATACACTTGACAATAAATCAAATCAAATCATAGTTAAGATCCTGCAAATGAGGCAACTTCCTGGTAAACCATTTCTGTACCCTCTCCAAATCCTCCATTATCCATCTGGTAGTACGGTGACCAAAACACTACACAATATTCCAAATGTGGTCAAACTAAAGAAGTGATGAAGTCACATTGCTTAAAAAAGTCTACCTCAATGACATAGTCTTATCAGAGGAGAGGTGACTTAAATGTTTCTGCTTCACAAGGCAGGCTGTATAAACAGCTGCACGGGATCACAGGTGTTTATCGTACAGAAGTACCAATCATCAAAAAAAAACACGCTTAGATTCCCTGTAGAAAATAGAATTGTCTGAATCAGTTGTACTTATTTTAACTGATATCAGGATTTACTTACGTACATATGGGACCCTTTAAAGCCATCAGAACTCTTCATATCAATGGTATTAACTTCATGACAAATGTGCCTATTTTCTGTCCAAATGGTACTGACCGTAACAAGATCATTGGCATTATCAAGGCAACATAGCACCTACATTGCACATAATTTAATTGTGCCTACATTACTTGTTGGGCATGCAACAGCAGGTGGATAATTAATACAAATATATGACCAGGGAGCAGAAGTAGACTATCTAGCCATTCAAAACTGTTCCATCATTCAATAAGATCATGGCTGATCTGATTATGTTTCAAATTCCACATTCCTGTCTACTTTCGAAATCCTCTAATTTCTGGGTGAACAGCGCTATGTCTGGAACCATGGTTGTTGACCCCACTGATTTCCTAAGCTGAATTTCACAAAGTCATTAGACCATACAGAAATAGGAACAGAAGTAGGCTTGCTCTATCATTCAATAGGATCTTGGTTGATCCAACATTTTTCATGTCCACTTTCCTGCCCTTTCCCCATAACCCTTGATACTCCCACGGATTCATGAATTTACCTACATCAGTCTTAAATGTACACAAAGACTCTGCCCCCACAACTGTTGGTGTCAATGAATTCCAAAGACTCTCAAACCTCGAACAGAAGAATTCCCTCCTCATCTCAAGTTTAAATTGCCACCCCTTTATTCTGAGACAATGCCCTTGGTCCTCAACTCTTCCAAGAGGGGAAAACATCCTCTCAGCATTTACCCTATCAAGCCACTTAATAATTCTATCTGCTTCAATGGGATCACCTCTCATTCTTCTAAACTCCAGTGAGTAGAGTCCCAACCTGCTTAGCCTATGCTCATAAGACAATATCTCCATACCAGGTATCATCCTATTCAACCTTCTCTGAACTGCCTCCAATGAAATAGTAAATCTTTCCTTAAATAAGGGGACCAAAATTGCTCACAGTAATCCAGATACGGTTCCATCAGCACCTTGTACAGTTGAGTAAGACTTTCTATTCTTATACTCCAAACCCCTTAAAATAAGGGTCAACATTCCACTAGCCTTCCTGACTTCCTGCTGCACATGTATCCCCAAGTTCTTTTGTGTTGAAGCTTTCTGTAGTTTTTCTCCATTGAAATAATACCCTGTTCTTTTGTTCTCCCTTCCAAAATGAATAACTGGGCATTTTCCAACATTATGTTCCATTTGCAAAATTTCTGCCCACTTATTTAACTGATCAATATCTCTCCATAAACTGTTTGTATTCCTGTTGCAACCTGCTTTTCCTCCTATCTTTCTGTCATCTGCAAGTTTGGCTATAGTACGTCAGAGGATATTGCATTTCTGATGAATGTGATTATTTTGGTTTAAAAATCTCCTTACTAATTTTCAGAAATTCAATCTGTAGTCAGAACAAGTATTGATAGTCATTTTTCTTCCATGAATACATTTAATTAGTCAACAAAAGACAACATTAAGGTCTTAGTGTTAAAATATTCATCTCTCTGTCTCATCATATAGAAATTACGTGAATGGTAAACTTCAAACTGAAGAATTGGGAACATTGGCCTAATGGAATTTAAGGTAACTGCTATTGCCTTCTGGATTGGTGATCAAAAATAAAATTTCAATTGTTATAGTTAGTTAAGTAGGAAATGTGGTAAGTCAAAAGAGTGGGTGGATGACACAGGAGGTTATGTTAGCAAGTTAGGTGCCCAACAAGTCCCCATTTAACACTATTTCTCTTAAACACTGGGGAGTTAATGTGGCCTTTACAAACAGATGTCTAAACGGCAATGCATCATATGTTTACAAAAAGGCTTGGAATTATCCACGTGCATGAAATTTTCATACTGTAATAAGCTACATTTTTATGGAAAACCTCAACTCTTCTAGATGTAACAGGAAAGCTATTATGAAGTATAAACAGGAAAAAGTGCTCTCCTGTGATATATAATTACATAAAAAACACAAGTACAATTAGCAACAATGGTGATTTAAGTGATTTTAAAAATTTGTGAAATGATATTTTTCGGTTTTAGAAACTTTAGTGTATATTAGAATTAAGTGAAAATTATGCATAATTACACTTCAAAAAATCTTATATTTTACTTGGAATGAATCAATAACAATGCTACAGAAAGATTACTTCAAGAACATTGAGTTTCCTTAGCTGGTTAATATATGCTTCTATGCTATTATTTACAGTGGACAACAGGGGAATTACTTACCCTCCTTTAAACCAAGGTGGTTTTGATGGATCTCCATCATTTCCAAGTTGCGCCTAGATTTTTTAAAATTCAAAACAGCAATGATTATTAAAAATTGCAAACTAATCAGGCAGATATCAGAAAAGATCAACTCATGTTGCTATTGTCCCATCCTGTTTCCAAATGTACAAAAACACAAACATCTGTATTTAAACACAAGAAAATGTTAAGTACAATGAATGGGGAAAACGTTGTAAAGTTTCTTTATTAACAGGAAACTAAATGATCTGTTCAATAAAGGTTGAACAGGTTTCCATAAAATATACTTTAATTAAACAAAAAAATTCAATAATATTCTAAATCACATGGTTTTCACATTAGAAGATAAATCGGAAAGAACAAATTGTATACTTAGTGTGAGTTGAGTAAAGGATGATGAGACTGAATGTATAAATAGGTTCTGACGGTTCTGGGCTACTCTGCAGCATAGAAGGCTTATTTTATTAATTGTTTCATTGTGATCAAAAAAGTGCAGTTGTCTGCATGTAATTTGAGGTTTGCATGCACCCTCAGCCAGGACCTAACTATCTTCAAATGCTTCGTCAATAACCTTCCTTCCATCACAAGGTCAGAAGTGGGGATGTTCACAATGATTGCACAATGTTCAGCACCATTCTTGACATTGAAGCAATCCATGTTCAAATGTAACAAGATCGAGGCAAAAGCCAGGCTTGGGCTGACAAGTGGCAAGTAACATTTGCACTACACAAATGACAGACAATGTCCAACGAGAGACAATCTAACCACCACCCCTTGACATTCAATGGTGTTACCATCACTGAATCCCTCACTATCAACATCCTGGGGGTTACCATTGACTGGAAACTCAACTGGACTCATCGTATAAATATAGTGGCTACTTGAGGAGGTCAGAAGCTAGGAATACTGCGGTAAATAACTCACCAAAGTCTCCCCAAAGCCTGTCCACCATCTACAAGGCACAAGTCAGGAGTGAGGTGGAAAACTCCACACTTGACTGGATGAATGTAGCTTCAACAACATTCAAGGAGCTCAACACCATTCAGGACAAAGCAGCCTGCTTGAGTGCCACCACATCCACAAACATCCACTCCTTCCACCAAGTGTTTACTATCTACAAGATGCTACGCAATAATTCACCAAAGATCCTTAGCCAGCACCTACCAAACCCATGACCTCTTTCATCTAGAATGACAAGAGCAGCAGATACATGGGAACACCACCACCTGCAAGTTCCCCTTCAAGCCACTCACCGTCCTGACTTGGAAATATATTGCCATTCCTTCACTGTCATTGAGCCAAAATCCAGGAATTCTCTGCTTAAGGGCAGCGTGGGTCTACCTAAAGCACTTGGATTGCAGCAGTTCAAGTAGGCAGCTGACCACCACCTTCTCAAGAGAAACTAGGGACAGGCAATAAATACTGTCCAGCCAGTGACACCCGCATTGTCTGAATGAACAAAAAAAAACTGAATCCCCAATAATTATCTATGGTACTGGGTAGAGACAAAACTACTTGGACTATTTTGCATTTCTTTTCCTCTGTTGTTGGCCTCTTCCAACAACTTACTAATGAACAAAAGTAGACCGAAGGAACAGTAATTGGCCAATTTGGATTTGTGTACAGGAAATACCTAGGCCATATTCCGTATTGATAGCGAGATACTAGTGTTGTAGTTGCATTGAAACAGCTTGCTTTAGGACATGCCAAGTTCTGAGCACAAGGTTCCAGAGGCTTTGCATATTTCCATGCCTTCAACTGTTTCTTGATATCAAGTGGAATGATTCAAATTGGCTGAAGACTAACATCGGTGATGCTGGGGACCTCAGGAGGAAGCCAAGATGGGTTATCCACTCAGCAATCCTGGCTGAAGATTGTGCAAGTGCTTCAGCCTTTTTGTTGCATCAGGGTCCGCATCACTAAAGATGTACATTACAGATATTTGCGTAAAAGTGCAGCAGTCAGATACTTTTTTCATTGGAGGGATCCAGAACATAACTTGGTTTCTATACTTTTCAGCGGAAGCTCTGAATTATCAGAATTCTTTGGAGGAGAGGTAAGGTACTCTTCCGGAGAGATCAAGGGACAGTTTTCTTTGAGGGGTGTGCTTAAGTGCCCTTTGGGAGAGGCCAGATGTCTTTTGAGATAGTTAAAGGTGAATGTGAAAAACCATAACAGTTGGATCAGTACATTGGAACCATCAAGGTATTTAAAACCCCTTGTAATTACCAAGCTGTCAAGGCATTTAAATCTTTAAGAAAATCAACAGCTTCAAAGAAATCACAGCATGCTATTTCACTCCCTTACAATGGACTGAGGGTAATCATTATAGAATACGTACAACATGACTGATTTCACAATTTATCACAATCACAGTAGGGTTCCTATTAGTTTAGTTTGACTGCTGGCTCCAAGTAATTTTAAAATCTGACATGGGGCTATGAACATAGATACTCGTTTCTATAAAGAGATCAAGTAGTTGAAGGAAATTAAGTGTCATGAATGGGTTTTATCAATTAGGTTCATTTTAGAAGAGTGAACTAATCGATAGATACTTACAATGTCATTTTATTTCTTTCTTAGAATGCTTTGTGAGGTTTACTATTTGTGGATACTGGTTAAGTTGGCTTGGAGGGTCTAAGGGTAAGGAGATGTCCGTAGAGCACATGAGTCGGCAGTAAATTAGCAGATGGGAATATGAAGGGCCAATGGGTGGGTAGAAGAGAACAACTAGGCATGGATGAGGTATAGGGAATATGTGTGGGACTTGAGGAATGACAGCCATTTCGTGTCTTATACCTCTTTTTTAACAGCTGGGGCAAAGTGCCTAAGCACGAAAGCTGGCCTTTCATATTGCCTGCTTCTGTATCCGGCAGTCCCCATGTTTCCTCTTCATTACTTCTGGGGTTGGTAGGTTCAATTTCCATTCATACTTAGTCCCAAAATGACAATCTGACCATCTGGTGCATTGAGTTGGACTTGTGGAGTCAGGATTTTCATGACTGTACTCCTTACCCAGGGATGAAAATTCAGGCCAATGTCTCTCTCCATTTACAGAGCCCATTTTCTGTACACTTTATTAACCACTTTCTCAACTTGTCCTACAACCTTCAATGATTTTTTGCATAAAAATCCAAGATCCCACTACTCCTGCTCCTTTAGCATAGATTGTCAGACTCATTTGTACAAAATAGCACAGTAGTTAAATCCTTCAGTAATAACTGATGCAGAGAGAACAATCTTATCAGCTGATAAAGGAAAATAATTCTCACTAAATCTAATGCATGATGAACACATTGAGCTTCATCAGTAAAAGTAGCTAATGAGTGATATGAGAAACAGTTTTAATTTGGAGTGTTTATAGCTATCACTCACTTACCTAAGTGTTTGCAGAAATGAGAAAAACCTGCATTTTATGGGTTCAATCAGCACTGAGTGGGCTTTTCATAACTTTGAATTATGTATTTTTAAAAATAAATTACCCTCAATTTGAAATGATTTTAATTATCATAAAGTTATACAGCACAGAAACAGACCATTAGTCTGACCAGTCCATGACGACCATAATCCCAGAAAAGGGTCCAGGTACTAAGAGCAAACAGTTCAAGGAAAAATTAATAATGATGAAGCTGTAACATTTGGATTATGGAAACACAAAGAAACTGAACCAACTACACAGGAAGTTAGAGAAAGTAGGAACTGCAGATGCTGGAGACAGGAAGTTTACACAGGAAGTTACTTGGTCCGTAAGTCATTGTTGACTATTTCATCGAGCGATTCAGTACCTCTACACTGCTCTGTCAACATATTCCCTGCAGCTGATTCCTTCAGGAATTATGCTGCCTGCAGTGCTAAAGACAAGGCCTAGTTGTGCCTCCATCTGACTTGTTCCAACAGTTAACATGAGGCATTTTCCCGACAATGTGCAAAATTGGCTAGGTGCCTCTTGTGCACAAGAAGCAAAACAAATTGAATCTAAACAATCACTACCCCATGGGTCTATTCTTAATCATTCGCAAGGTAATAAAAGATGTCAACTAACTTCCTTTCCTTGCAAATCTATTGTTTGCTGTTGCCAAATCTTTCATCATTAACATCTAGAAAGTAACCACTGAAACTTAACTGAATCAGTCACATCAATACTGTGGCAGCTTGAAAGCAACAAAATCGCCAAGTAACACAAATTTTGAGCCCTAAAAGCCATCTTGCCATCTACACAGCATGAGTCTTTTTTTTAATATGTTCATTTGTGACAAGTGGGCGCTGCTAGCAAAGCCAGCAAGCAATTGGCTATTTCAGAGGGCAGTCAATTACATTGCTCTGGGTTTAGAGTCATTGGTGAACCAGATAAGGTTTCACAATCAATTGTAGTTTCAGGTTTATCATTTCTGAGACTAGCTTTCAAATCCAGATATTCTTCATAAATTTAATAATTAATTACATTTAAATTCCACAAGTTGTTACAATTTGAACTCATGTCCCCAGAATATCATCTTAAACTTATGCCCTCCAGTTCTGGACTCCCCTACCCTGGAGAAAAGACTTTAGCAATTCACCTTATCTATGCCCCTCATGATTTTATAAACTTCTATAAGGTCACCTGTCAGCCTCCTATGCTCCAGGGTAAAAAGTCCCAGCCTAACCAGCCTCTCCTTATAACTCAAACCGTCCAGAGTCAGTAACACCTTGCAAATGTTCTTTGCACCCTTTCCAGTTTAATAACATCTTTCTTAAAACAGGGCAACCGGAATTGTGTGCAATACTCCAAATGTGGCCTTACCAAAGTCTTGTACAGCTGGAACATGATGTCCCAACTTCTGTACTCAATGCTCTGAACAATGAAGGCAAGCATGCCAAATACCTTATTCACCATCCCGCCTACCAGTGATGCCATTTTCAAGGACCTATGTATCTGCATCCATAGTTCTCTTTGTTTGACGCACTCCTTAAGGCCCTACCATTATTGTGTAAGTCCTGTCCAGGTTTCTTACCAAAATGCAACACCTCACATTTATCTGAATTAAACGCCATCTGC